AAAACTTTGCCTCCTTTGTGGTTATCTACAACCTCTGGATCCTACAATCTTTTCATCCCCTCTTATGTAATGATTCCTGAGCCTTGGGAGGCAGAAGTCTGAAATAGGTGTCCTATTCAGGGATAAGCAGTCAGTAGCCTCTTATTCTCTGCATGTTGGCCAGTTTTGGGTCTTTGTGTTAATCACCATCTGCTGCATGAGGAAGCTTTTCTGGTGAGAGTAAAGAGATGCACTAATATGTGGGTATAGCAATAAGTCATTAGGAGTCAGTTTAATACTATGTCTATTTAGCAGAATAATAGTAGTAGGCTTTCCCTTCAGGGTTGTGACCTGGTTAGCCACAGGTTCTTAGACTTGATATCAGTGATAGGTATGGGCTCCATCTTGTAAAGCAGACCTTAAATTTATTCAGAAATTGGTTGGTTACCTCTTTTGAGTAACTGATCTGGCATTTTTTTTATTCCCAGTGTATTGTATCCTCTGTAGAGCTAACTTAGTGACAATAAATTCCTTTAGTATATTTTTATCATGGAAGGTTTCTATTTCTCCTTCAGTTTTAATAGATAAGCTTTGGTGGGTAAAACTGTCTTGATAGTTGTAGTTTTTCAGAACTTGGAATATATCTAGGCCCTTCTGACTTTAAAAGTTTCTGTTAAATAAATAGGTGTTGTTCTGATGGGCCTACCTTCATAAGTGACCTGACCTTTATCTCTTGCAGTTTTCAGTTCCCTTTCTTTATTCTGTGTAGCCCTCTTGTACCTGTATGGACATCACTTTTCCTAAGTTTGGGAAATTTTCTTTTATGATTTTATTGGCAATATCTTCTACGCCTTCCTTATGGTACTCTTCTACTTCTGCGCCCATCATTTGAAGGTTAGGTCTTTTCTTGGTGTCCCAGAGCTCTGCCATGTCCCATTCACATTTAATTTTTTTCTCATTTCCCTTTACTGAGTGTTTTGATTCCTCCACTTTGTCTTATACCTCTGACTCTCTGTTTTCCACATGATCCATTCTTTTCACAAGAATTTCACTGAGGTTTTGATTTGGCTTTTTGAGTTTTTAATTTCCCTTATCATTTGTTTGGCTTTTCTTCAGCAATTTTGTCTCTTTATTGAATTTTATATTCGTATTTTGGGTTGATTTCTGCATTTCATTCAGCTTTGTTTTTGTTCTCTTGGCGTATATTCTCCTTAAGTTGTTTGAACATAGTTATAATTCTATATTATAGACAGAATAATATAGAATTCTATGTTATTCATTCGAATTCTGTCCGGAATATCTTCTACGTCTTTCTCATTGGGCTTCATAATTTGGGGGTGTGCTGGATAGCTTTAGTGTCAACTTGACACACCTGGGTTGAGGGAGCCTCAATTGGGGAATTGCCTCTATTGGACTGGCCTGTGGCCATGTCTGAGGGGCATCTTCTTGATGAGTGATGTGGGAGGGCCCAGCCCACTGTGGGTGGTGCCACCCCTCGGCAGGTGGGCCTGTGTTGCATAAGAAAGCAGGCTGAGCAGGGGCCAGGGGAGCAAGCCAGTAAGCAGCGTTCCTCCATGGCCTGTGCTCCAGCTCCTGCCTCCAGGTTCCTGCCCTGAGTTCCTACTTTGGGTTCCCTGGTGAACTGTGACTGGAGAGATATAAGACAAATAAACCTCTTTCCTCCCCAAGTTGGTATTGGTCACAGTATTTTGTCACAGCAATGGAGAAATAAACTAGAACAGAGGGCATGTTGGTGTTTTACGTGTTGTTTTGTTTCTGTGATGGGACTTATACATATGAGGTAGTTAGTTGTGCCTTTCTCTTTGCTAAAATCACTTTTTTTTTCTTTCAGTATAGAGATGTATGATGTTCAGGAGTGTATTAAATCATAAGAAGGTAGAGATATTGTTTTCTTTTGTGGATGCTGTGTAATGCCTGCTGCTTCTATCTCTTGTCTTCTTTTGAGCATTCACTATTATCTGTGATAATGGTCACTATCCAAGGGTCAGTACACTCCTTGCTGGTCCTCTCTTCTGCTGCTTTCTGGTGCGGCTCTCCAAGTTTGTTTGCTCTACCCGGAGTAAGCTCTGGTCAGCTAGTAGTTGTGGGTAGGATATTTTTGGAAGCTGTGTGTAGTCAGGAGGCCTATTGTGTTTGGAGGGTCAGAGCCTATCAGGGAGCACTGGGAAGTGAGATTTCAGAGGAATGGGTGGCTAACAAGGTAGAAAGGAGCAAGCCTAGTCTGAGGCATGGGGATGGGAGATCCAAGAGGAGTCAAGTAGTCTGGCAGCACTCGGAGGTGGGATCCTGAAGGAGGTGGTGTGAGGCAAAGTGACATTGTCCCAGTAGCTCAGAGAAGGGAGATTGCAGAGGCAAAGTACTACCTATAGGGTAGGATGGATCAGAACTTACCTTATGGGTGGAGGAAAGAGGTTCCAGAGGATGCAGTGTGGATGTTGGGGTGGGAGTAGGGAGGTACACAACCTGCATGGAGATGTAGGGAGGACAAGTCCCAGAAGATCCCAGTGGGCCTTTGGGATGGGAAAGAGTAGACCTAGTTAGCAGCAGTGATGTAGGAAGTCCCAGAGGGGCCAGGCAAGTCTATGGAATAGGAAGGAGCAGATGTTATTATTTATTTATTTATTTATTTATTTATTTATTTATTTATTTATTTATTAGTGTGTGTGTGTGTGTGTGTGTGTGTGTGTGTGTGTGTTCCATGGCAGGCCTGTGGAGGTCAAAGCACAGATAAAATTTGTGAAAGTCAGTTCTCTCCTTCTACCATATTGGTTCTGGGGACTGGATTGTTGGATTGAGATAATTAGACTTGGTGGCAAGTGCCCTTACTTACTGAACTACCTCAGTACCCTAGGATTTCCCAGTTGTGAAATGCAAAGTTGGGAAGTCCAGGAAGGCTCCCATTTCTTGTGAACACTGGTTTGATTGGTCATTCTAGATGAAGGTAATTTCCAGTGCCAGTTAACACCATATTATCCAGCACAAAAGTACATACTTAGGGAATGAGGTAATTTCTGATGTTTGTTTGAAAAGGACTCATTAAGCTTCTTACCACAAATCTGTGTTATAAAGCTACAATTTGTAAGGCACCAGTTTAAGTGTTATATTCCAGACACTACCATTTCCATCTTATGATAGAAAAAGGAAAAAGTGACTCTAATTCAGTTTGGTAGACACAGACTCAGGCTTAAATCTTATAATAAATCTTATACTCTGTGACACCTATAGGAGATGTAAAAGGAAGCATATTGCATAAAAAGTTTTTGATGCACCACAAATTATGATCCCCAATCAAATACTTCCCTTCCTTCTTTCTTTTCTTCCTCCATAGGGAGCACACTGGAAGGATTGACTGAAGATTCAGGAAAAGTAGAGTGGCATAGCTAATGAAACATTTAATTAATAACCAAGGCATGGAGTTAAAGAGATGACTCAGAGGTTAATGCTGCTTTTGTAGGGAATTGGAGTTACTTTTCCAGCACACATGCCAGAAGGCTCACACCTGCCTGTAACTCTAGCTCCAAGGATTTGATACCCTATTCTGGCTTCTGTGGATACCCAAATACATGTGACATAGATACATGCATACACATTCATATAAATAAAAAAAATAAATCTTGAAAAAACAATTGAGGAGAGATATAAGGTAAGGGTAATCCTTCAGTAAGGAGAAAAACTGTTTTTTCCCTCCCAGTGCCAAAAATATGGTCCTTTGCTTGTCATGAACAATTCTGACTTCAGTCATGGTGTCATGTTGGGGGACCCTGCTGCTAAGGTAGTCGTCCATGTCCAGATAGCTCTAAGGGGCTCAGCGCTATATGGAAGGACTCCCTTTCTCAGCGGGGGCCTCCTGCTCTCTGCCTGACTTACCTGGAAAGTGCCACCAAGCATGGATGCCTGACCTTATTTGGAACATGACCTTTGCCATAGTTATCTGCAATATAACTACCCCCAGGCTTTTTCTATATGATAATTAGGCATTGCCCTATAGTCCGATGATAGGATTCCCCCTACCACATGTAAATAAAGCATACTATGAGCACCTATCAGCTGAGGCTTTGGCTGCTGCCTCCACACTATATTTTCCCTAAACCCCACTGAATAAACGGAGCTGTATCACTGAATCTGCCTCCCCGGAAGGGTTTTCTTCCGTCAGTGCTCACTGGCTGTCCTGACCCTGTTCGTCGCTTCTGCTCCCTTTGTCCTCATGGACTGGTGGCCAATGACCCATGAGGGGAGGGAGAGACCCTACAGTGTCATATCCAAGTCTAATATATGAAAAATGCAAAAAAGGCAAATATCCCAATGAAGACTAATAGTGACATGGTTTGGGAGTGCATAACAACAAACAGAAAAAGATCTCATGGTAGGTAAAATGTTGCTATTCATGTTCTTGTTGCCAAATGATAAACACGTTAAGACCAAAACTTATCAATCTTTTGACTTAAGAAGAAAACAAATTTCATGGAAGACCCTTCAGACGTCTTATATAGTAAAATAAAAATGAAGAACTATTTTGAGGATATATTTTTAAATGCTGCACTTGAAAGGCAGAGGCAGGCAGAGCTGTGAGTTCAAGGCCAGCCTGGTCTACATATCCAGTTCCAGGCCAGCCAAGGGAAATAGTGAGACCCTTTTTATAAAAAAATTGATGAGTCCTATGTTAATATTTCTCAAAAGAACACATATAATAGTCAATAGGTATGTGAAAGTTTCTTAACATCACCAGTCCTCAGGAAGAAGCAAATTCAAACTGCAATGAGATATCATTTTGTCCCAGTTAGAATTTTAATCATCAAAATGCCCCAAATCACAAAAATTCATAAGGATATATAGAGAAATGAAGGCTTATACAGTGCTGTTGGTAATGTAAATTAGTATAGCCATTATGGGAAACATTATGCTACTTTCAAAAATGTTAAAAAAATCTACCATATGATCCATATGCCCTCTCTGGGTATATTATACATCTAAGAAAAATTAAATCAGTGTATCACAGTACATCCATATTCTCATGTTTATTGATATACAATGCACAGTAGCTAACATACAGAATCTGCCTAATTTCTCATCAATAGGTAAGAAAAATATGGCACATGTGCACAATGGAATACTATTCAGCCATAAAAAGAAAAGCAATATCTCATTATTTGCTGAAATATATATGGAACTGCAGGACACTATATTAGGTTATGTGATATGATACAGAAATATAATTAACCATATAGTCCCAGTCATGTGGATTGTAAAAGATGAAAAGATTTGCAAATGTTGCTTTATCAATATTTTGTCATGTCTAGGACACATTGCATTATGATCTGGTTAAAAGAAAAAATTACCTACTGTTATTGGTTTCCTTTCAATATAGAGAGTATATTTATTAAATATAGTAACCACAATTACATCAAAACACTTAGGGAAAGAGTAGGCTAATGATATTACTTGGGAAGAGAGCTACCCTACTAGATGGCTGATATTAGATAACTCAGAGCCACCTTTCTCTAACAGGTTTCCCCTAGTAAAGAAAGGAACAGCTTCTGTTTTGTGGGATGGGCTAATGAGATGATGTGAAGTAAATTTTGACAGAACGTTGTTCTGTTGATATAAAACTCCGGTAGCTATGGTGCCAGTTGTATTCGTTAATCCCAAAGCTTTCAATTTTAAGCATGAAGCCCCAAGAGACGAGCAGTATTCAATATGTCATCTCTTGTTAAATAGCAGCCACAGAGTTGGCGGTAGCCAGTGAATGATTCCCTGCCATGAAGGACTCGCCAGTTGTCTATAAATAGTACCTGTGAATGTAAAAAAAGGAGAGAAAACATCATCAGGACAAGGGCAAATCATAGGAAACCTAAATTAGAAGAGATCACTAAAAAATCTTAAGGTTGTTCTATGGGTTACATTCAGTGTCTAACCCTGTAGCAGGTTAAATGGTGATTAAAAAGGCAATAGTTGATAACCCCTGTGCACGTGAGGAGCTTATGTTCTTTGAGAAATCATTCTCTGTTCAAAGTAAATCAGGCATTGGTTTCTATTTAATTCTTACTCTATACTTTCTCAATTATGTTTCCTAAAAAGCTGAAGATGATATTCTTTGTTCAGAGAAAATAACAAGTTTTAGCGATGGAATCATTAAGCTGGAAGGACCCTTAGGGATCATCTGGTTAAATCATTTAATCATTAAAATAGAGTGACTAATGTCCAGAGACACATATTAAATAAATGCCATTCTTCATTGATTTCTTACAGCAAGCTTACTTGACATTTTTATAGTTTAAGACCTACCTTTCCAGGCTTTAGTTTGACCCAAAGCTCATTCTCAGGTCTTCTCAATTCAGTTGTTAGGGTACGATGTGCTGTGTACCAACGGTGGACAACATCATAAGGCACAGTGTTGATGATAGCTCGGTCATAGTTGTTGTACCTAACATGGCACCATGGGAAATAAAGATTTTAGACACATGATAAAGACAGTTATTATTTATTGAACTATTTTTAAAATATTTTATTTATTATTTTTATTTTATGTGTATGTGTGTATGTCTACATGCAGGTAGGTGCACCTGTGTTGTGCAATGCCTGTAGAGGTCAGAAGAGGGCATTGGATCCCCTGGAGCTGGAGTTATGGATGGTTATTAGCCACCATGTTGGTGCTGGGAACTGAACCCAGGCCCTCTGCAAGAGCAGTCAGTGCTCTTAACGAACTATTTTAAATAATGCTTTCTCTGTGTCTGCTGCTTGTTCTACAGATGAAATGAGAAGTCAAAACTCTTAGGAATATAACATCATAGAGAAGAATTCTCCTGTCTACTGGACACATTTTGGTTTTTCTCTAGAGACTCTGAGAGTAGGGAGTGGAAGTTAAGTTCCAGCTGATTGCTTCTATCTCAGGACGTGTTGTTTTATCTGAAGCATGTTTTATGGTGTGAGTACTTATTGGTCAGCGTTCATAGAAGCACTGAGAGATTTGAGTTTCTTTGTCAAACTAAGGAGGGCAACATAAGTTGTCCAAACAAATGGTTCTTTTTAACAGAATGGGATCACTCCTCAAATTCCTACCTTTGTCAGAAAAATACTAGATATAACCTAGTAGACAATTTCACTTAGAGATATTTATTCAGTCTGTTTTTCATTCATTCAATATTAGTGCTTACATGAGCACCTGCTATTACTAGGCAGTCTATCAGGAAATAAATATGCAATGATGAACAATACAGACATGATCCCAGCTTTGGGGAAGTTTATAACCTCTTAAGAAGGCAAGACTATAACCAAAATAATATGCATATAAGATAATCTCAGCTAGTTACAATGTCGTGCAGTAACTATAGTGCCATGTGTTTAAGAGTAACTGAAAAATCTGTTTTAGATGGAGTGCTGACTGAAAGAATTCTTGGAGAAGCGACACTGGAATTGGTGCCTGTATAAGAAATCAACAATATGACAAGGTGAAGTATGTGCACTATAGACAGAGAGAACAGCAAATACAAAGTCATGGGATAGAAAAGCATTTTATTATGCTTATAGAACAGTAAGCAGGCCATATTGTTCGTACTGAGTAAGCAAGGAGAATTATGACTGAAGAAATGATGTGGAAGAAGTAACAAGGAGCAAGATCATATGAGTTATGCAGGCCTTGGTAAGGCCTTGGACTTCCTCTGGTTACCACACACAAAAAACCCTTGATTAAAATAATGTATATTTTGCTGGATATGGTGGCACATGCATTTAATCCTAGTACTTGGGAGGCAGAGGTAGGCAGATCTCTGTGAGTTAGAAGCCAGCCTGGTCTACATAGAGTTCTAGGCCATCAAGAGCTACATAGTGAGACACATCTAAACAAACTAGTGCTTCCATTCACATTCTATTATGTCTTTTGGTAAACATGTATGTTTACTTCTGCTTGGTTTAAATTTAAGGGTGGAATTTCTGGGTTACAAGATATGAATACTCTCAGTTTTTGTAGACACTGCCAAAGATATTTCCTTTTTCTTTATTTTTTACTTTTTTGTTTTAGATCTTTCTTTTAAAGAGAAATAAACATTCAATGGGGTTCTTTTCTTGGGTATCAGATTGTATTTATTGGTTTTAATACATAGCACAATCAGAGCCAATATTCTGTTTTCTCGTATGTAAACATAATATATGATAAAGCAAGAACAGCAGTATCTTTTTTGTTTTGCTTTATTTTATGTGTATGTGTGTATTGTGTGCATGTATGAAAATGCACCGGGGTTGTGCAATGCCCTTGGAGGACAGAACAGGGTGTTGGATCCCCTGGAACTAGAGTTATGGATGGTTGTAAGTCACCATGTGGATGGTGGAACAGCCAGTGCTCTTGAACCACTGAGCCATCTCTCCAGCCCAGCAATATCTTTTAATAATATTTTATTTTATTATTTTTATTTTACGTGTATGAGCATAGGTATGTAAGTTCACCCATGTTGTGCAATACCCAGAGAGGTCAGAAGAGGGTATCAGATCCCCTGGAACTGGAGTTATGGATGGTAGTTGCCATGTGGTTGCTGGGAACAGAACCCAGGTCCTCTGCAAGAGAAGCCAGTGCTCTTAACCACTAAGTCATCTCTTCGTCCCCAAGAAGAGCAGTATCTTATTGGTAAGCTATAGGTGGCAGGTTGAGGTTTTCTCATATTAAATGCTTTTAATTTTTTCATTAGTTAAGATGTTCATAATAAAACGTTGGCCCTACTACTTATTTTAGGTAATGAGTATGAAAGACATGACTGAGCGAGAAGTGAATTAGTATTAACATAGTTCCTTCTACCTTCCAGGGCCCAAAGCAGGGACAACAACTCATGTTTAACAATGAGTATGATAGGTGTTATGATTGAAATAGAACACTCATGACCAATAGTTTAAGTGATTTGGCCAAAGCCATAAATTGCTGGATGATGGTCAGGCTTTCACCTTTTCTGATTGACAAGTCTGTACTACTTCAAGATAAGCTTTGTAGCTATCTCCAAGACGCCTCTTTACTCTCTATCTCCTTATTTATTATCCCTTAGTATTTATTAACATTTGGTATACTATGTAATTGCTTATTTCCTTTTTAAAGATTTACTTATTTTTTATTTTATGTGCATGGCTGTTTGCCTGCATGTATACAATGTGCATGCAGTGCTTGTGGAAGCCAGAAAAGGGTGTCAGATCTCCTAGAGCTGTAGTTACAGATGATTGTAAACCACTAGGTAGGTGCTAGGAACTGAACCCAGGTACTCTGCAAGAGCAACAGGTGCTCTTAACTGCTGAGTTATCTCTCTAGCCCTTTGCTTATGTTTTTAATGTTAACTATCTCCTATTAGAATTCCATGACAGCCATGAGTTTTTGTATATTTTTTCACAATTAAATCTCTAGCATTGAAAATAGTTTCCTCATCAGCTCAAGAAATACTTGTGGAGGAATTAATGCACAGCAGGAGTTAGCTTAAGTGGAAATAAAACAACATAAGAAAAGTCTTGGTTGCAATGATGGAAAATAACAGGGTTTAGAACCCTAAAGCAATGTGGTCTCTCTAGGGCAGAATTGGTATAGAAAACATGAGTTGCATGAGTTGAAGCTAAGAAGAATTCAGGTCATACAGAATTGTGTAGAAGCTTGTCATGAGGATAACCATAGTTCTTTGGAAGATAATGAGCAGATGTAGGATCTTAATAGGAGAATGATAAGGTAAGATTTGTATTTCAGAAAAATTTTTCCTGTGCTGGTGAGATGGCTCAACAGGTAAAGGCACTTGCTGTGCAAGTCTCATGACCTGAGTTTGATCCCGAGCCCTTGGTGAAGGAGAAAAAAATTGCTGAAAAGTTGTCTTCTGATCTCCATACATGTGTCTGCATGCTCTCACACATCACACACACACACACACACACACACAAACACACACGCACACACTCACACACGTACACATGCACACATGCACGCGCACATGCATGTACAAAATAATTTTAAAAATTTAGTCTAGCTTCGGCACAAGAAATGGATAGAAGGGGGCTCATGGTGGAAACAAGATTAGTTAAAAGACTTTAGCAGTGGTCCTATGGATACATAATAGTGGTCTCACAAAAAAGGTGACATTGTGGATAGAAAGCACTGGGTAGTTTGAGAAAAATTAGGAGCTAGTGTTGGGGAGATTGGTTGCATAGTATAAGGGTGAGGGAGAAGTTAAAGATGGCTTTTGGTTTTGGTTTGGGCAATTTAGTGGATGGTGATATTTAATGAAACATGAAGGAGCAAACAGAGAGGTGAGTGGAGACTATGCACTCAGTATTGAATATGACATATCGTATGTTTTACAAGTTATCTAAATGATAGCTAGAAGATAACTGGATACACTATTCAGTTACTTTGTATAAATCTGGACTAGAGACATATATATTATTGTCATCCTGCTTTTGGAAACCCTACCTATATAGTTACCATAGGAAATTTGATACATAGTTTTTTTTATATCAATTAACAGATGTTTCATTTAAAAATTTTTTAATTTTAATTGAATTTTTATTTTATGTGTTTGAGTGTAGTGCCTGCATGTATTTGAGTGCACCCATGTTGTGCAATGCTGTGGAGGTCAGAAGAGGGCTTCGGATTCCCCTGGAACTGGAGTTAAGGATGGTTCGTAGCTGCCATGTGGGTGCTGGGAATTGAACCTGGGTCCTCTGCAAGAGCAGTCAGTACTCTTAAACGCTGAGCCATCTCTCCAGCCCCAGATGTTTCATTTTTTTTCAGTTAATTATTTATTTAATAACCACATACTTAGAAGAATCATTTCATTACAACAGCATTGACATATTCAATAACAATTTTCTGAGCTAAGATGCATCTTTTTCAAAATTGGCTGTAAATTTTTAGGTTTACAGTTGAATTATTACAGTTATACAATACTGTACTCAGTATAAACCCTATAAGACATAAAATTAAATGAGGTTTTAACCCTTAAAAATGTCTCCATCTCATTATTAAAATGCATAGTTTCATACAGAAAAATTCATTTTTAATGTAATTGACATTAAGATGTTTGCACATGCGTTTCTAATCTCTGTATATCTGATTATTACTAGTGAGAGTAGGTTATTTTCTGAGCTCCTTGGCATCTGAGCATGTATATAACGTTATCAGGTAGATTTCAATGGTAATGTTTTTTACAACTATTAATTATTTTTTAATCATTTTAAAAAAATTTTTAATAACTACATGATTATAAGAAGCATTTCACTACAGATTTAACATATTCAGTAACACACTCCAGAGCAAGAGTCCATCTCTTTT